GCAAAGCAGTGCCTCCAACCCCCAATCCCGCAAGCCTGTCCAGAAGGATACCATGGTCGATGGTATCGAAAGCCGCTGAGAGGTCCAGGAGAACCAACAGGGACGCACTCCCCCTGTCTTTCTCCCTGCACAGGTCATCGTACAGGGCGACCAAGGCAGATTCAGTACCATACCCGGGTCTGAAGCCGGACTGAAATGGGTCCAGATAATCAGTTTTCAAGGGATTCTGCATCCAGCCATGATTTAATTCGACTCTCAATTCCTATTTTCAGCCATATTTCCACTATGAAGTACATGGCAATCTGTTTAACTGATTAAACCTTGGCTGCCTCTCTAATTAGAGGAAGAATTTTAAGATAATTTCCTGCAGCAATGAACTTGCAGTATAGGAGGTCATCTCTGGCTGTTACATACTATCTGAAACAATTTGGTATATTCCAGAAATGACAGTAAGCCTTCTGAAAGTGAAAGTCATTTGTGAGCAATGTTTGTTCCAACAGCTAGTTATGAACTTGATTCTTCTGATAATCCATATTTAGCTTATTGAAATATTGTTGCTAAGGAAGAGTATTAAGAAGAAAAGTTTCTGTAAATCTCTTTTTCCAAAGCACATTCGTTCTCTCTTTATAGTGGAAATGAATGGATTTTTTTTCCAGTGGCAGGCAAGAAGAGAAGAATCAACTGAAAAGAGGAGAGAAGCCAACACAACTGGTCCTTCATGCCCCGATGAGTATTAACACTTACCAAAGGTTCTAGTTCCTTGCGGTCTATGAGGTTGAGCTCTGTCACAAAATAATAAAAGTGCTTGTAACAGGTGTTTACATGGGCTTCAGCTCCCATAATGATGATACGGTCAAAGTGATGAATGTAGACGTGGACAAATACTCTAAAGAGCCTGCACAGAATTTTCTTGCAGATCTGGAGGAAATTCTTTGGGAATGGTACACCTGTGAACAGAAAAGGGGTAGTTTATGTTTTCATTCCTTCTAGACTGTGATATTTCTCAGGTGGCCTCTGACAAATAAGGTACTGCAAGTGGCTATTGGAGATACAGTCTTTTCAGTGGTAGCACCCAGAGTGTGAAGAACGCTGGTCCCTACCCTGTGGTATTTTTTGCACAATGTGGAGAAATCCCAACTTCTGTATCACTCAATCGCCAAGGCTTTCTGGAGGTTTACAAAGATTTAAAAGCATAAAAATTTAATAGTGTACATAGTATAAAAAGATGTGATATTAATTAAAATACTGCTTCAAGATAATTTTAGGAACTTTAATTCTTAGTTTTGCTGCTTTGCTGTTTTACTCTTGCTGGCTTTATTTTATGGTATACTCGAATCATGGGTGATTTTCATTCTGTTGGTGCTCAGGAAATGTGTGGCTTGTGTTTATTATCTTTAATCTTTAACAGTAGGAATGCAATTTTGTGGTCTCTAGATGGTGTCTACACAGCCACAGGATAAATCAAGTCCCACTTGTGACCTTGGAAATGTGTTCCAAGGCTGGAACCAAGATTACAGCTGCAGAGCATCCTTCCCCTGCCCTTGCACAGTCAGTATTGTTCTTTCCATGCTGGCTGCAACTCCAAGATCACAAGTGTGATTTTGGAGGCAGCAATGGGGGAAGTTCCAGGGAGCGGTAAGACTCCTCTGGGAAACAAAAATTCTTGTCAGTGCCTCAGGTCCCTCCACCTCACCAGGATGGTCAAAAGACACAGAGATAAAATACTGGTTATCTATGTCTTCTGTAAGTGGGGAGACGCACAGGGGCAACTGAGTGCCTGTTATTCCCCATGTTTGGAGGGTTCTGGGCATCCACACTACATGGCAACCTAACTAAATAAAATTGCTGTCACAGCAAACCTTGGGGGTGGGGAGGCAATCAGAACTGGATTCACCTTGTTCAAACGGCTGGACCCTGTTTATTGAATGATCTATCCATCCATCCATCCATCCATCCATCCATCCATCCATCTCTGTGTTGTCGTGCACTGTTATTGTATATATTGTAGGTGTTCTGTATATTAATTGTTTTATAGTTATTTTATTGCTTCACTGGTTATTCTGTTTCTATTGTTCTACATTTTTTGCTCAATCCACTTTTGGATTGAGTGGATATAGCCTAATAAAACAAACACACAATCAATATCTATGCATCTACTTTATATCACGTCTTTTTTCCTCTTGAGGAACCCAAGGCAGCTTACATCATCTGCCTTCTTCTTTGCATTTTATCCTCACTGCAGCCCTATGAGGTAGCTTAGGCCAAGAGATAGACTGGCCCAGAATTACCCAGCGAGTTGCATGGCCCAGTGGGGGCTAGAAATGTGGTCTCCTGATTCCCACTCTAAGACACTAACCACTATAGCACACAGGTTATCAGTGTTTCCATGCCCATTAGCAAGGCTGGTTGAACATTTCTTCCATACCCTTTAGAATGTGCTTCTGTGCTTTGGAATGTGCTTAGGTGTGCTTCTGTGTTCTTTAGGATTGTACTGTACCTCATTATTCTCAGTGCTGGGGTAGATGTCCTACGTCCTCCAAACTTGGCTCACTGATATGCTGCATGTTGTGAAGGGTATGTGTGTGCACGTGTGCACGTTCACCGCTTGCCCATTGAGCAATACATAGAAAAGTGCAATGAGGGTGCCCAATCGTTTCCTCAATCTCTGCTTGCATGCATTTTACAGAGGTAAGCAGCCAGGAACACATGAAACAGTCCATCACAACTGATACAGCATGCATGTATACAGTGCCTTGCAAAGTGCGCACACACACCCTGTGCCTGTGCTATCTTTGTGCAGTGTCCAGGTGAGAATTATCCTGTGGACAGGTTCGTGCATCTCAGCTGCAGATTGCTCCAGCTGCTTCAGAGTTACCACTGGCCACTTGGTAATTCTGACTGGTGCTTCTGTACAACTTTATTCTGGAACCCTTTTGCTAGTTCCTTGGTCCTCACGATGCTGGCCATTTCGATACGATTCCCCATAAACTCTGGGGACTTTCAGAGACAGGTACATTTTTCTGAGATCATGTGCCACTGGAATCACACACAGGCAGACTGCATTCAACTTCTTACACTAGAGGCAGGGAGTGGCAGCAGAGCTTTTTTGGCCCTGTCACATCAAAGGGGGCAAATGCTTACACAACCAAGGAGGGCTAGTTTAATTTTGCATGCTTAACCTGGGTGCTGCAGTAAAGAGATTTTGCATCTTCACAGTGGTGAGTACCTTGGTAACAATGCCAATTAAATCCATTTCAATTGCAGGTTGTAACAGAACAAAATGTTGAAAATATTTGAACAGAACAAAATGTGGAAAGGGTGTGGGGGAATACTTCTGTCAGGCACTGTACACAGAAATACCTTCATAGTGGCAGACTTCAAGTATAACCAGGTTGTCTGAGGGGATCTAAGAATAGGGGTCTCTATGGCAATATTAGCAAACCAGTGGGATAATACTTCACTCTCCCATGACATTCTGTCACTGATTTTAAACTTACTGAAGGAAAGTAAAATCAGAGCAAGAAACTGCTGAATTAGACTTCATCAACAGGCTCAATTCTATTGCCAGAGACTTAAATCAAGATAAAGGATTTTTATTACACTACAGATATTAAGTAGCAGTGTCATGATGTTTGTGTTACCAGCAGTAATTGTCCTGTTAATCGCCGTTCTTAATAAAGCAAATTCTGTCAGCACTACCACATTTAACTTCCTTCTGACATCTCTGTTTACAGTTCTCCCTACCCCACCCTGCTCACTTGCGTACTGTATATATCTGAAACTCTTGATAACACTTCATACCTTTGTTGACCTGGGTTATAGTTCACAAAAGTGTACACTAGAAGAAATGGTCATTAAGATGCCACAAGACTGTAACAGAGAAACATTCTGCAAATTGTGAGTACTTTTTTTTCAGTATGTTTATTTAATGTGATTTGCACCAGACTCTATGGCTCATTGGGATTTTTCACTTAGGGTAGTTCTGTTTGATTTCTGGTGACTGCAAAGATCGATACTCTTTCCAAAAGGAAAATAAAAAGTAGTGATCTGATATAAATAAGCATATCTTCTTAATAGGCAGAACCAATCATAGGCGTTTTAATCTTTCAATTACAGTTTCTATGGTTCAATGGATCACCAGACTACTGCTGGGAAACCAACCAGCACTGTCTACATTTCATGGAGTTTCCGTCCCAGTCAGCATACTGTTCAGGTTCTTTAAACATCTACTGATAAGAAAAGGTCATTCCAAATGTATTACTGAGGCTTGAAACAGAAGCCAATGTTCAAATTTCAAGTAGATAACCTAAGTCAACAGCAGATGAAAAAGTCCCTCTGGCCTGTAACTAATCTATGCAGATTTGATCCCTCCTGCCATTCACCAACTATCTCATCTTTCTCGGAAATTCCTTTTGCAATGTCAGTTACATACAACAAATAGGAAGATGGTTGGACTTGTCTGATCAGGAGGAAGAGGGTACTATTAAAAATCTCATGAAAAGCTTTCTGTATATGAAGTGCGACCACTGACCCATTTATCACAGTAGTAGCAAGACTTGACAGAGAGCTTCTTCTCAGGATCTCAGCCTTTCCAAGACTGCATGCCTGGGATTTTTTTTTTTTTAAATTGGAGGTACCAGAGATTGAATCCAGGGGATGCTTCATGCAAAGCACCATCTCTACCACTAAACCTCTCTGAAGTCACAATTATGGGGTCAGCTCAGTGCAGTAAGGCAACCTGTGTTGGCAGCTACCACCTGTGTTTATAGAAAAAAAAATTGGTAGGAAGAGCTCATATGTGACAGAAGCTTCAAACAAGCGATAACTTTTTAAAATTATTAATTATGTTATTTGCATCTCAGTTTTCCATCAGCTCACACAAAGTGCCCTCCAAATCATGCAGGTAGTTACATGTTACATAAATCCAACATAACCAATGGAATTTACATTTTTCTGAGCCATATAAATTAGTATCTAAGGATACAGAGGTCTATAAAAACAATACAGCTCTGCTGCAAGAGACACATCATGCTAAAATATAATATTCTACAGCTCCACTTTACCATCTGGACTCCACTTCTCCAATCCTTCCCCTCTATATTATGTTAACTAAACAGTTTTACCATGGAAGCAAGGTGAGAGAGAGCTGACAGCACTTAAATTTAACTGATCTTCACAAGTGTCAAGTATGATACACAATGTGCCTTTATGAGAAAAAAGATCCCAGGGGAAGGGAACTCAAAACATTTTCTCTCAAACCCAAGCACATTTAAAGAACAAACAATGTATAGCACTTTGGAAACTTCAAAGTTTAAAAATGGCTTATGCACAGAAAGAATAATAAATATTCTGATATACAGAGTAAGGGATGTTAACTCTTACATATGGTGCATATGCATTGTTGCACCATACAAACGTCGGTATAGAAAATACTCTCGAGAGAGCCAATGGCCTATGTGATTGAGAATGATCTGCATTTGAAGCAAAACACCTACAATATAACAGAATATACTGGGAACACCAATTAGCCAGTAGTTAGTAAAGCAGATTACATTTCAGTCCCTAGAGTGTCACATGATGGCAAGAACTGTATGCCCGTCCAAAGCTTTGAAAAATAGCCAGCAAAAAGGATGACAAAAGTATGAAAATATAATAAAACTTAACTATGAGATGTTGCCATCTGGAGTGGTAATGACCGAAACAACTGTTATTTAAGGCAACAATTGTTATTTTTGCCAATTCAGAGCAATACTCTAAACTTTCTGTTCTGCTGCCTGGAGGTAGACCCACACTGCAGTAGATTGTAATTAGTTCCTTTCTTCCTGGGTCTGAGTGTCATGCGTTTCTTACAGCTTGCTTGGAGTAATGCAAGAAAGGCCTTGTCTATTATTAATTAGTTGACACAACTATAATGAACTAGCAAGTCTCCTTTTAAGCCTCTCTAGCA